AGAGAGAGAGAGAGAGGGTACTCGTGTCGTGCGATAACCATCGCCGAGGTGCAAACCAGCCGCGAATTCGAAAGGCGGCCAGTCGCTGTTCGCGCGTCGGCGACGACGCGTCGCGGGTTCACTTCGGGCACGGAATTGAGGTAAAATCGAACCCGTTCCTGCATACGCACACAATGCGTTTCTCGCGTTGCATCTCTTTATAAGTGTTCGTGAGAGAGCGATTGACCGGTTTGACAAGAAAAGTGTTCTTGTGTCCGTATATCAACGTGGCATTTCCGCGAGTGAAGATTTCAACATGATAAAAAAAAAAGAATCTTGAAATACATAACACCCAATACCAGTAGCGATATCGCTTTTACTGTCGATCGATAATGCGCACGCTCGTATAAAACGCAATAGCGATTTATTTAACACGAGCATATATATACTCCTAAAGATAATATATGCAGAAATAAAATCCTTGATTTTTAAACGCCGGGTTTGTTTCGCATGAAGAATCATCGGCGTGGCACACGAACCGCGTTCTTTCACAATACGTTGCATAATCGTTTCAATCACGCGGCAGCTGCATCACGCATACGAAATATACGTAGCTTGCAATCTTTTCGCCGAGACCACATATATAATGCGTCTGGATCGTAAAAACGCGGGTCGAACCGGCGGCATTGAACTGTGGCGTCGATCGGCCGTCGCTCGACGACGACCACCATCGTCGTCGCAGACGACGAGAAGGGAAATTACGTTCAGCCGTCGCGACGGCTGCCGCGGCCGTCTCAGTTTATTCCATGCGATCGCTCGAGAGCGGCTCGGTCGAATGGATCATTGCGAGAGCGTAATACTTGATTTCCCACGTGGCATGGTGCGGGCGCGCTATCTCTTATAACCGCGCCAGCTGTAGGGTCAATTAATTGCTTGTTTCTCACCACCTAAACCTTGCCCTGCGCTCGAGAAAAGAATCACCGCCGTCGCCGCCCGCCGCGCAGAAGACACAATTGTCGCGTCACGCGAATGAGACTTACATTTGTCATACAAGCATATCAGATGCGTTGATTGCCTATGAAAATTCCAGACCAATACATACAGAATATCCGTGGAGTGTGTTTGCATAATTTGTAGAGCTTTGTAAATTTGTTATAAATTTCTCATACGTCACACTTACACAACAAATATAATGTCGGTTTAACTGTGAAAATTACGCGCTGAAAACTGTTTTCAACAATTGAATACACGTCCGCATCGCATTCTAGACGTTTGTTATTTGAGACGGATCTTCTAAATTGCACCGCAAAATTGTAGAAAAAGGGAATTTATGAAGGCCTTTAAAACCGCATGATATAACAACGTTGGAGTACTCTCGGCTGGGCTTGCCCTTCTCGCCTACTGTTATCTCGAAATTGAAAACAATGCCGCGAGACTAAACATTCCGCCCGGTGTTGCTCTCTACGTTGCATGCATAACGTTACTTGAGTTACGGGATGCAGGGCCGCAGCGGTGCAAGTTATGCACCACATCTGGATTAAACCGAGATATATTGCATTGAAAGATATTGCGCCTCCCACGGAAAAGTTCAATCGTTAAGAGTTGCTTGCACAGATATCGCGATTGAGAAAAAAAACAAAAAAATTATTCTCAAAAATATATGTTTCTCCAATCATTTCTTTCCAAGTCTTTAAAAATCCATCATTAAACACACTCGAGATAAATTTGTTATTCTGTTTGATTATAAGAAAAAAATGAAAAATTGCAGTACAACATATCGGTTGCTGCAGAGATTCCAATAAATAAAAATCCATTTTTAAAATAGCAATTCTCGCACCGACACGAAATCGGTAATTGAACAAGAATTTATCTTCCAAGGTTGACAAGCGTAAATCCTTTTTCCTTGCACGACGGACTATTCGGGAGGCACGAGGAAAAATGTGTCGTTTAGAAAAGGCGGTCGAGCGCGTTCTCTCTAATGTAGGTTATCGTCAACTCTGTGCCCGATACCAGACGTATGTCGTATTAAAAACGTGATATCGATAACGAACAAAACCAATATTTTGCGTTCGCGTTCCAAAGCACCGCCATTCGTTATCGTAACAAACATGGAAATGAGCAAGTTGCGCGAGACGCGGTGGACGCGCCTCTGTTGGAACCTACGTTCTATTCAAACAGAGCCATCGGACCGTTACAACGCACCGTATCGCTTGACACTCGTGATTTTATTTTTCATGCACGCAAACCGACAGTTCGATCCTGACGCGTACGGCTCGTCATTGTAAATGTTTGGCTGGTACGAGCCGCGAGATCTACAACTGCATACGAAAACAGCCTGCGCGGTTAAACACGTCAACGGTTAAGAAATATTGTCGTTTAATTCATCTCTATTATTAAACAAAAATGATTTTCAATTGATTATTTAAAATCAGTAATGAAACAAAAATATACAAGTCAACGAAGTCACCAACGCGTAACAATTTCGATAAATAAAAATTCTGGCAATATCGTGCCAGCCAATTTCTGAAAAACTCATATCTTTGTTGCACGCAATTTTCATACGGAAATGAAAAGTGCAATTAATTGACATTTTCCGGAGCAGCTATTTTATTTGCGATTACGGAAAAAAATCGCGAAAAAAACAGGCATGTCGCTCGTCGGAATGAAAGTGCAGTGAAGTGGGTCGGCGACCCCCGGAGTTTCGATAAAACTTCAAAATGCAGCCGGTGTTGCACAACCGAAATTGCGACTAAAACGCGGTCACGCCAAACGATCGAAATATACTCCACAGCTTCGGTTGAATTAGCTAAATCCGACACCGGAGGAGAGTTTATCAATAATCGATACATATATGAGAGTGTTATATGTATACTCCCCTCCTCTTATAATATCGTATTAATTCGTCAGCCTCATGCGCGTCTCTGATGACTTTATTCAAATCGTTTTAATACGTAAATGATCGAAGCGGGTCACGACCATCAATGAAACTCGATCAACCGCTTCCTCATTACATTGAGATGTGCATTCTGTTATTCTGTTGTGTATAGCTTTTGAACTATTTAGCACATGCCACACGCAATATTGCGATCATTACACGATCAATAATCGTATATAAAATTATTTGTGATTAATTTAAAAAAATTTTTAATTACTAATATATTACGATATGTTTAATATATAAATTAAAGATGTCGGAAAAGACAATCTTTGTCAAATTGTCGCCGGATTAACTCTCATCTCGCGGTCAAGGGGATCGCGCTCCAGAAATCCGATCTTAATCCGCGAGTAAGAAAAAAATTATTCCCCGCAGGATCCTCGTGAAGCAGCGAGGGTTGAATCGAAAGATTCCTTACCACCATTCCTCTCCCGTTCTCGTTTATCGTTATCGTCGTCTGCAAACTGCGAACGCTTTCCCGAGAGGGTGTGGACAATTCTTACAAGTCGCGGCGATAAAGTGGATGGGAAGATAAGACGTTGCCGAAGGAATAAAAGCGAATACCTCGGAACGAGGCGGGTGGGGGGGGGGGGGCTCGCGGAAGATGGTCGTCGCTCTTTCTCTCTCCTCAAATTGCATGCAGCCGCGAGGAATCGCATACGGTATTCCAAGGGAGTCGCGCCCAGCCGGAGCGGAGTGCGAGAAGTCGAACGACTTGCCGCGTGTGTATATACGTCGTCGGTGAATCGACGGGGCATTACGAACGGGAGGAAGAGTCACGTAATCGGAAACGATTTACTCCTACACACACCCTCACCTCGTATCTTATCATCTTGTCGCGTGTCGAAGATGCGGGGGAGGAGGACGGGAATATAGCGCTATCTATCCATTCGGCTGTGTTTCGTAGAGCGATAAATACGCGAGCCGTTCCGATTGTCCGGTCTCGAGTCTCGAATATATATGAATATCCATTAACGAAGGTATAAATCAGACGGGCCGAAACATTTAATCGTCAGACCGCGCGGAGATCCACCTCATTCGTTTGTCCTGCGCGCATCGATTACGTTAGCGAACTATTCGTTTTCGCATTTCTTCTCTCTTTTTTTTTTGACTGTATGCACCGTTTGACTGTATTTCTCCGCTCTGCTTTACTTGTTCGTTATAGTTGCCGCGAGCACCGATGTCCAATGTGACCCGCCGCCAGTCAATTAATCGCGCACGAACAATCGCGCGCACCTGCTATCTCGCCATCGGTTACGCCGAGGAGCAACGAATTTTCGTTAATTGAGAATGATCTACAGCTCGGTGCAGAATTGCATGAATTTTCTCACGCGATATTATCTCCCTTATTGAAAACAAACGACGATAACAATAAGAAGGATAAATAGCAAGAGGAAAATTAATTAATTCCAAAAAATGAAAGGTTAAGAAATTAAGAAAATAATACGGAAATTCTCATGAAAAATAGAAATGTTATATAATTCAAAAATATGTCAATCGACCTAGAACTTATTAATTCTTAGCAGTAATTCAATTTGAAAGTGTTAGATGTACAAATATAATTGACACAAATCTTAAGAACTTAAAAAAGTTGCGCTTTTAACAATTAATTGAAAAAACAGAATTCTATTTTTTTTTTTAATCTGACGAAATTGCTTAATTCTTCGTAACTATTCCGATTAATCTAACGAGCAATTAGCTTAGCAAAAGCACCGTGTTAATAGCGAGAGGTATCTCCTCCTAAAAGTAGAGCGAAAAGCCGAAGAGCTGAAAAACGGACCGGAAGAAATTTCGAGCGGTCGTCGGTGGAAGGATTCGACCGTAAAGGGAAATTCTTCTCGAATCCTTTGAGCAAGACTGCCTTTCATTCACGATGCTCTTTTCACGTCTATCGATCCCGCTCGCTTCCACCGTGCCATTTCACTTTTTTGTTACTGACCAAATAGACCAAACTTTATTTCACCAAAGAACGAAGATATCAAAGATACATTTCATTGGCTATCTATGGCGGTAGTTTCCCGAGTTATAAGTATTATTTACTGTGTAACTTCAAGGTGTAACTTCGAGATGGAATAATATTGTATTTGTTACCATCGCAATGCGGGGATTCCCGTTGAAGCAAAGTCTAATATTTGACGATTGATTCTAAACTTGATAATATTATCTGTAACATGCGCTTTCGCTGTATTGTATTTTATCTGCTGTTAAAATGCAATTTGAAATTCTTCAGATTTACGTCATTTATATACTTCTTTTTCAATTTATTAACACAATTATTTTTTTATTTACTTCAATGTGTCTCCAAAACTTATATTAGCTCTAAATTTCTCATAATTAAAAAAAAATTTTTTTTTTATGATATTTGCTTTTTTGATTTGCTAATTTTAGTGTTAAAAGCCAGGAAATAAGATAGCTTTGTCGTGACGTTGCGAAACGATCGTGAGCAACCGAGAAGAACGTTCGCGGGAAGCTAACGCGAAAAGTTTACAATAACGGCATAGTTGACATATTTGCACGATAAACAGAACCACGTCATGTCGAGCGAGAGCAGTTTGATAACACAGGAATGTAGGCATGATTAGTCACGCAACGGTATACAGAGAGAGTAGCCGAGTGGCAGATCGCGGATTATCATCATCGGATATTGCGACGCTGTCGTTAGATTCAGAGGTATCGTGGACACTTTCAACAGTTCGTTCGTTACTGTACGATTCAGCACGATAACGCCGCGTGGTACTTATCACTTTGAAAGAGAGAACAAAAAACGTTACCATTCGATATCGTCGAACGACATCTTTTCAATAAAACCACGAAACAATTTTCACAAAGGAAATTTCACAAAAAATTTACTGGAAAAATTTACTTAAAAATTTAGAACAAAATCATAAATGAGATGCACCGAAGATAAAAATTATACGTATTCATCAATATATTAATATAATAAAAAAATTTATGCTAAAGATAGCCACAAAATTTCCTAATTTTTTTATCCTTGCAGATAGATCGCGCGCTTCCGAAGGAATAAAATCGAAGGATAGGAAGGATTCTGACGGCGAAGTGGCGATGTTCAAGAACGTTGCAGCACGCTGTCACCGATAAAATTGGATCGCGCTAGCGTTTCAGCGAGGAAGCGAGGCGTCAGACGAATGTTATAGGTAATAGAAGAAGACTGTTCGAGTTCGAATGAGTTCCGGGAACGCTCATGCCGGACGATCGTCGTCGTCAACGAGAGACATGAATTCAGCGAGAGGTGGAGCGCGGATTATGACCGAATCACGTAACGTCGCGTGGCGTACCGCTCGCAGCTCGAGATAACTTTTCGCGGTGCGAACGCGGATTAATCGCGAGCGCGATCAGTATTTAATCGCACGTCAAGGCGATCGCTGCGAAAATTGAAAGCATCAGATTCGGCGGCGCAGATTTCCAGCACAGACATGTCGAGGCGACCCCGCGGTCGGCTCGGCGCAGAGCTGCCTGGCGCCGGCTCGGCATAAGGCGGCCGGTGATAAAGAAGCGACGGGAGGAGGAAGAGGGTACCCTTTGAGCGTATGGCAGAAGACGAGGGGACGAGGGAGCAAGTGAGAGGCGCAAAATGGGAGCAACGAAATATGTGTTAGGCAGCGCGATCTTAGGACTCTTTTGGAGCGGCTTGTTCAAGGGCGCCCTGACCAATTCCACCAACAGGTGCGACTATCCGCCCTGCTCCTGCGACCTCTATGGCAGATTGACCTGCGACTGCAAGGAGGAAGGCGAGGTAGGTTCGACACAAGCTTATCTCCGATAAGTATTTGCGCGAGAATCGATTTTCGATTGAACCCCTATTTGATACCGCGAGAAGTCGGCAAACACTTCCAACGAAACTCGCGCGCGGAGAGACGGACGGGATACACGAGGGAGATAGCGAGCGAAAAGATACCTCGTTATCAGTAGCGTAGATCTAGGCACGTATCATCCGAGACTCCGAGACAAGGAAGTGCATTTTCCCTTCTCGTATTCCCGAGAAATCTCATCGTGTTTAACTCGGAGTCTAATTCTGAACGTGAACGAAAATATGTAACCCGATTCTGAATTTATACAGTGACCTCATACATTCCGAGAGTGTAATTGATATGTTTCAGTGGCAGAATGATATGACAACTCTTTAAACTCTTAAAAAAGTAGTAGTTAATGTCTTTCGTTTTCATTCATTATTCTCATATTTCATATATTCTTCTTTCACGTAGAAATCGACTATATTAATGGTTTTTTTTTAGATATTTTATCGCGATGTTCATGTAAAATGTTATAAGCGTCTATTCTCCGGTAGAACCGTTCAACCTGGGGTCGGGTTTTAGGGTTAACTCGATTCTTTTTATTCCAATGGTTTCCTTGCCCGGTCGGGTGAGACTCGTCCGATCTGCGTCTACGATCTTTCTCGCTGCCCTTCCACCTCAAACGATCAGAACGATCCGACGACAGGCGAGATCTCGCAGCGGCGAATTCGTGCGGAAACCGCGGGCGGGGAACGCTATCGCTATCGCCCGAAAAATCTCAGACAATGCGACACCGGGCTCAGTCTGCCCATTCTTTGTTCCGCGGGGGACGTTATTCCATTTGCGAATTACCCGACGGGGAGATAAAGGGGGCGGGTAGTTTCGTGCGATGGCAAAATCGTAAAGCCCGATCTCCGCCGCCGGTCGCGAGGGGAAAAAAGGATAGGAAGAAAAAAATACGAAGGAAAGAGAAAATGTTTCCTCGGGATCTCAATGACGTCTTCGGCGCCGCGTATCGCCCGAGGTTGCGATGGCAACAAAGATTGAGATAAAGTAATAATCACGCTCGGAGACTCGTTCTGCCGTTCCTAGTTACGACAGAGCAAGGACACCGGGGATGTCGGAGAGAAAGATAGATAGATAGATAGATAGATAGAGAGAGAGAGAGAGAGAGAGAGAGAGAGAAAGAGAGAAAATAAGAAAAAGAATTAATATAAATATAT